CATCATACATACATATGTATAGGCAAAATATTCATATACATAAAAATAAATAAAAAAATTTAAAAGGTTTCACAAAAGTGTGTATTTTGTAGACTATATTTTTATAATCCTTTAAAAGTAGCATGACTGCTTGTGTTTGAAATAAGAACTGTTTATTACCTGGTATGGTTACTGTGGCCGTTATGTATATTTTGGTTGACTTTTGTAAAGATGTGCTTAGTACTAACAGCATTAACTACTCAATAATAGTAATACACAGGCAAAAAGTCTGCCCCTCCTTGGAAAAAAAACAGGGAATGTTTTATATAAAAGATCACTTTTACACTGAGAGCTGAAGGATGTGTGGGAGTTTTCTGAGTGGAAAGATGGGGAGTAGCAGGGAGGTCAGAACTCAGAGGACCCTGTGAATAATAATGACACAGAACTTCAGCTGAGAATTGGATTCAGGCTTATTCCACTCTAAAAGCCACTTTGCCCACTTTTAAACAAATCTGTTCTTTTTCAACCTGCTCATCAATGTAACATTTCTACCTATAGTTTATACACAGCCTGCATGTTTTACATAGTGATAAACTAACACGGTCAGCGGAGTGATGAGTTCCTCCAATTTCCTTGGTTGGTTCTCTCCTCCAAATCATCTTCAGAGAAGGTTAAGTAAGTGCTTGCACGTGTGATCATTACAGGACCTTTTGTTTGCTTTTCCTCCCTGAGAAGTTTCCTTTACAGTATTCAGTCCTTAAATTCTACTCTTTCCTCCTCCATCCCCCACACCCTCTGCTGTGACTCCCTCTAAGGAACGTCATTTTTGTCCCCACCCAGACCCAACTTATTTTACAGTTCTGCAACCACAGCACCACTGAGACCTGGGTGTGCCGTACCCTATTCCTCACTCCAGCTGTGCCTTGTTTGGTTAGATCACTTTGATCGTTTCCATCTTCTTCACTGCAACACTTGCCTAGGCCTTGGGTTAAGGGTTGAAGTCAACATTATTCTTTCTGTCCTTAGACGTGAACTGGGAAACACGCCGCTGTCGTACCGCTCAGTCGTCTCAAGGCATGCAAGAGGATCTCGCTGAAATGGGTTCAGTGAAATAGAGTTTAAAGACTGATCTAAATGTTCTTAAAGTTTTATTATTTACTGAGGGCCAATGCTTCTTCATCATTTAAGATATTTTGAACTCTGTTTCCTATTATTTCAGCAGATTTATGTCAACAGCACATTTAAACCGAACTGGTTGGCTAATACCTACCTTTATTTCTCAGTTGGAGGCTATTTTGTGGGCTATTTCATCTTTAAATTTTGAAACAGGCATGGTACCGCAAGGCTAAAATTTGGCAATCCTAAGTAAACTGTGCTATTTATTCTAAAATCTGATCCCTGGCCCCCATCTCAGTGTTTAGAGAATCCCACTGATGTAAGAGATTCTAGAATATTTAGCGCAGTCAACTTGGTAATCCCTCTGTTCCCTGGTAACTCTCCTCCTTTGCCCACAAAATTCCCTGAAGAGATGGAATCTACATCTGTTACCATATTTGTGAGAATTGTAGATTAATTTTCAGTGGTATAATGCAGTTTTATGGCATAGTAATAGGAAATAATAATGAATATTTATATAATAACTACCATATGCTGGTCACTAGTTTATGAATATGTAATTGGTTAATTAATATTTAATATTCATATAATCCTGTGGGTGGATACTATTATTACCTATATTTTACTTATCAGGGAACTGAGACACAGAAGGTAAGAAACTTGGGCGAGATCAGACATACAAGAAATGGTAAAACTCTAGCAGCTAATCTCAGACTTGATGCTAAACAGATATACTAATATGACTAGGATTTCTTATACTAAATATATAATCGCAAATTCCTTAGAGGCACCATAATCACAGAGCTTTTGTGGTCTGGTTGACGGTTTTGTGGTGATCTGTCCACCCAGTTCTATTCCACAGCCCTTGGAAATAGTCAATCCCTGTTTACAAGGTTGCTAGCAAATAGTAGGCTTGCAACTAACGGAGAAGAAGAAACCAGACAGCTTATTTGTAGCTTCAAACTTCTCAATCTTGGTTTCAAAAACTCTAAGCTATGATCAACAAATAAATTTGTTTGAAAATTACATATGTGATTTCTATATAATAATGCTGCATACATATTACAAAAGGCTAGTATGAAAAAAATTGATATATCAAGTATTAATAAATACATGGATCAATCATACTTCTGATATACTGTCAATAGGAGTAAAGGTTGGCAAAGTTACTTTGAACTATTACTAGACATTGTCTACAAATATGTTCCTACTTGCTCATCGGTAAATTCTATTTGCTTGGTGTATAATAAACACAAATGCATGTGTGTCACTAAAAGACAGTCACCAGAATGTTTATGGTAGAAGCATCTATAAAGGCTCCAAACTCAACACAGTAAGTGAACAAAATATGCTGTTTCCATTCACTTGATATGCAAATACATGGAAAATATGGACTAGGTCCATTGGTATAGTGTTGAGCAAAGTAAGTCAGACCAAAGTAAGTACATGATGTGTTAAGTCATTTTATAAATGACTTAAAGTTATAATTTATAAAGTTATAACTTCTAATAGAACTACCCCATGATATTAGATTCCACATATATGGGCAATATGCTGGCTAGTTTCTTGTCAAGTTGATTCCAGCTAAAGTCATCTGAGTTGGAGCCTAAATTGAGAAAATGCCTTCATATGATTGGGCTGCAGACAAGTCTGTAATGCATTTTCTTAATTAGTGATTGATCTGGGAGAGCCTAGCCTACTATGGGTAGTGCCCCCCCTAGGCTGGTGGTCCTTAGGTCTGTAAGAAAGCATTATGAAAAAGCCAGGGGAGCAAGGCATTAAGCAGTACCCCTCCATAGTCTCTAGATCAGCTCCTGTCTCCAGGTTCCTTCCCTGTTTGAGTTCTGGCCCTGACATCCTTCAGTGATGAACTGTGACATGGAAGCGTAAGTCAAATAAACTCATTCTTTCCCTAGTTTTATTTTTTCAGTCATGGTATTTTATCACAGCAATAGAAACCTTAACTAAGACAGATGTTGTTACCAGGAGTGGGGTATTGCTGTAACAGACCTGACCAAGTTGTTTGGGGGAGGATTATGGAAGAAATTTGAAACTCTGGGCTAGAGAAGTCATTGAGCATCAAGAACTCAGTGGACTGTTCTGTAGGAGCTTGGAAGATAATAATGTTAAGAGCAGTACAGATGATGGAGGTCTGGCTTATGAGGTTTCAGAGGAAAGCAAAGAGTCTTATCAGACTATTTGTCAAAGAATCTGTGGCGTCTGGTCAACTGGAGCTAGAGAATTGGCTATGATGAACAAGATACCAAAACCACTAAAGTAAAACCTTTGGTTGGCTTAGACAAGGGATGATGGTCAGCTTGGGCTGAAGAATCAGCTGTGATTAAGAAGAGATCACCATTTTTGAGGTGAAATAATTTAGGAAGTAGTCCCTTGGAGGTAACACACAGAAGCTGTGGTCTGTTGTTATGGGATATTTGTAAGCTGTGTAAAGATGTCTTTTCTGTGATGGATGTAGTAAAAAGCTGAATGGCCAATAGCTAGGCATGGGGTATAGGTGGGATTTCTGGGAGCAGAGAGGACTCTGGGAAGGAGAAAGGAAAGATGCCAGGAGAAATGGAGAAGCAGCAGGAGATGCAAGATGAAAGAGAGGTGATGCTCTGTGATAGAACATAGGTTAATATAAGTTAATTGACGTTATAAGAGCTAGTTAGGGCTGGGCGGTGGTGGCGCACACCTTTAATCCCAGCACTCGGGAGGCAGAGGCAGGCGAATCTCTGTGAGTTCGAGGCCAGCCTGGTCTACAAGAGCTAGTGCCAGGACAGGAACCAAAGGCTACAGAGAAACCCTGTCTCGAAAATCAAAAAAAAAAAAAAAAAAAAAAAAAGCTAGTTGGGAACAAGTCTAAGCTATACTGGGAATCTGATGATCTGATGGTACAGAGAAAGACTTGATATAGCCAGCCTATGCTGTACCTATAATTTTTTTAAAGGCAGCAGTTTTCACTTCCTAATGCTACAACCCTTTAAAACAGTTCCTCATGTTGTGGTGACCCCCAACCATAAAATTATTTTCATTGCTACTTCATAACTGTAATTTTGCTACTGTTATGAATCATAATGTAAATAGCTGATACGCAGGATATCTGATATGCGGCCCCAGTGAAAGGATCACATATGTGACCCTGTGACAGGGTCGTTTGATCTGTAAAGGGGTCATAAGCCACAGATTGAGGACAGCTGCTTAAGGAGGGCTGGTTCCACGAGTGTGTCGGCTTGTGAAAACGTAGGGCTTTGTATATTGATGGTGTGTGTGCCCTTCTACACGTCGTTTTTACGTCAACAGCAGAAGCATAAAAGCACACTGTACATTTTCCCATCCTTTCTCAGAAAAAGTGGAAGCTGTCAATTCGCCAACACAGAGTAAGTTTCATCTTGCTTAACAAATGTCTCATGACCCTAAGAGTGAAACCAGGCCGGAATCCCAGTACTTTGCCCACAAGACAGCTAATAGACTACCGTAAATATTAAAACATGACATTTTTCAGATTCTACATGTTTCGATTTTTAAAAATCAAAACTGTTTTCAATTGGAAAATTGTCCAATTCTAGTTCCCTAACTTCTTGTATAATTTAATTTGAAATGAGTTTTCCTTTCCTGTATCCCTTTGCGAGATAAAAGTGTATATAGGCTCTTAGTCCCTACGGCATGACTGTGTATACTTTGGAAATAATATCCATCGTTTCTACTACTATGTCCTTTTCAGCCCAATATAGAGACATTTAGTGATAATTCAGTTTCTCTGGATCTTAAAGTTTGGCAAATAGGTTTGTAATCAATTCGAGATACTATTTGTCTTAGGAATTCAAGTTATCTCTCATTGACTGGGAACTTCTTTTGTACAATGTACTATTCCTTTCCCTCACTTAATTTAATCCTTATTCCAGCCATGTGGAGTGGATATTTATCCTCATTTCCGCGACAAGAAAATTATTTGATGAGGCTATTGGGATCTATTTATCCAGCTGGAAGTGGCATGCCAAAACCAGAGCCTTTTCGCAATTCTGGGTGATTTCCAGAGATGTTCTCTGTGCAGAGACTATCAGAGCTGAGTAATGGACGAGGCAGAGACCCACCTGATCTTCTCACGAAACCATGATTTTACATGTATACTTCTGTAGGCATGCGGCCAGACGCAAGCAGCTATAGGGAAAGGAGATGTGCCTGGGAAGTTCCAGAAGCATGCGGGAAAGTGAGTCCCACTGTGTCCTTTCCTTTCCGTTAACACAAATAAAGTTCCGTCCAAGTTTGTCTTACCACCCCCAGAATTAGTTACAATTTTGGCTACCTAATTTCAGGGAAATTAAGCAGTCTTTTTTTTTTTTCTTCTGTACAGAATGTTGATAAGAAGGAGTAAACTGTCGGGCCCTTTTGTCCTGTGATCTTGACCTCTGGATTTCTAAAGAATGTACTCGTTTTTCTTTGTCACCAGCTCCGTTGGAACCAAAGGGAAAATAAATTGAATTCTGTAAACAGAGTTCAGAAAGACGCAGTCTGGTTCCAGGAAAGGAACCACGCCGGCTCTTTATTCAACATGGCTTGAGCTGGCAGCTTCAGATTTGCTGGGAAGCCCCTGAGTAGCTCGGAGAGCTGATTGTACAAAGGGCAAGTGCTGTCATTAAAAACAATGAATGTTTGGGCTCCTGAGTGACTCTGTGAAGAAGAAAGTATTTATTAAATTTTGATCTGTATATTCAAGGAAAAACTAGAAACCCAGAGATGGTAGCGACAGCAGCAGCAGCAGCAGCAGCAACAACAACAAAAAGCAGTGGAGAAAGAGAAGAAAAACGCTCAAGTGAATAATATTTATTATTGTTATTGGGATGGTTTGTGTTTTACTCTTGGTGCTATTTTCCTTTAAAACAAAGGCAAACTGGGAAGAATAACAGTGGAGCCACTTAGGTAAAGAGGGAATTTTGAGGTCCTTGTTACTTGGATTACAACCCTAGCTTCTGTTTCTACTTGAAAATACAAGTCTATTATATGATTTATATAACCCATCTGTCTGATAAGGCTTTTTTTCCCCCTTCCTTATGATTCACTGCATTAAATGTGAATTAAGCAATGACAAGACCTTTGTTTAAAGGCCAGCCTTCACAGACTTTTAATTTCCCTCTGGATCTCACAGCTAGCCCTCAAATAATTCCTGTTCAAACAGCTGCCAAAATGCTTTCCCAGAGAAGGGCCATAGATGCTGAGTCTTAAATCGAGGAGGGCTGTGATCAAGGCAACAGCTTTTTCTGGCTTGGAGTTTGCATGCATTTGGCGGGCTACCGAAGAGGATTAAGTAATCATTCTCCTGGAACCAAACGGAAATGGACCTGGACACCAGCTCTTTGGGTAAATGCTTCTTAAACAGAGGTATAAAAGGATCCGTGTGTTTATCTGAGTTTGCTTTCTAAATCGAGAAAACTAGTTAACTTCTCGGTTGGTTGGCCTGAGACGTGGTGCCCCAGTGGGATCTGCAGTTAATTTCCATCAGAAATGTTTCTCTGTAGTTTTGTTTTTTTAATGGAATATGCCACTTGGGAGAGATCACCAATGAATGGTATCTCTGAGCCAAATCTACCCAAGAATATGATTTTTCTCACTTCCAAATCCTTTCAAATTGTTTTAAGTAAAAAATTTAAAGCTAGAATATTCAACCTAAATGTCTAGGTTCTATCTAAATAACTATAATAAGTCGTATATCTTCCTATACAAAGTCTGTATTTTTACGCAGTCTTATGCACCTAGAACAGAATAGTAACTAATGCTATGGACAAACACTTGATGGTGAACTTCACAACAGTCCATGTCTGCCCTGAAAAATGCAATTAGTGACTTCATTTACATTGTTATTTTTTTTTTTTTCGGTTTTTCGAGACAGGGTTTCTCTGTGGCTTTGGTGCCTGTCCTGGAACTGGCTCTTGTAGACCAGGCTGGCCTCGAACTCCAAGAGATCCGCCTGCCTCTGCCTCCCGAGTGCTGGGATTAAAGGCGTGCGCCACCACCGCCGGCTTACATTGTTATTTTCATGACTATATAATAAACACATTTTTCTCTGGGTCTCGAATTTAGGCTGAGAGCAATGTGGTTTAGAAAATTCCTTTAATATTTTTGTGCATGTATGTGTGTGTAAATGCCATTTTTTTTTCAAAAAAAACTTCCTGGTATTTTTGACATTTGAACTTAAACTTTTACGTTGCTGTTTCCCCTCTGTGGTAGGCATAGTTCTTTGTAATTGTCCTGGCTGTTTTATAAAAGCCAGAATGGAGACAAAAATCCATTGCTGCCGGGCAGTGGTGGTGCATGCCTTTAATCCCAGCACTCAGGAGTCAGAGGCAGGCATATCTCTGTGAGTTTGAGGCCAGCCTGCAAGAGCTAGTGCCAGGACAGGCTCCAAATCCACAGAGAAACCCTGTCTCGAAAAACCAAAAAAAAAAAAAAATAAAAATAAATAAAAATAAAAAAAATAAAAATAAAAAAATCCATTGCTATTTATAAAATAAGACTTCTTTAATATTTTCAGTGATTTTGTTTCATCAACCTAGTCTGGAAGCTTATCAGGGATGGTAGGCATGGACCAACAACTGAGACATGGAGATCCAGTACCGTTTTGAAAGAAAACCAACCCAGACACATGGGCTCACATGCTGTGTGTATGAGGCTAGCTGAAGTCAGGGAGAAAACTGAGGGCTTGACAGTGCAGTCAGGTAGCCAGCCACCAGGTGGGCCAGTTCAAATCCTTATTGGAAGAGCCACCTCAGACATCAGGAATCTCAAATAAAAAAACACATCTGACACCCGCATCCCATTACGGTTCTCAGGCTTCATCTGTAGAAGTTTGAAGCCACATACAGTTTTATGACAACCTACCTCATTTACCTCACACTGGAAAAAGAAATTTATCACATTCTATTTGCCCTTCTACCAGTTAACTGTAGGTAGTGATATTTCATTGGTATTTTAATAAATAAAGCTTGCCTGAAGTTCAGAGAGTAAAACAGCAGCATTGATCAGTCTTACAGACCAGGCAGTGGTGACACACACCTTTAACCCCAGAAGCCACACTAGTTTGACGTAGAAACTGGGCGGTAGTGGTGCATGCCTTTAATCCCATCACTAGAGAGGAATATAAAGTGGGAGGAGACAGCTTTCACACACAGTCTCATTCTGAGATTCCTGGAGGCAGAGTCACCATTTCAGACTGAGGTAGAGGTAAGAGCCAGTGACTGGTTTTGCTTTTCGACTTTCAAGTTAAACCCCAATTTCTGTCTCTGGGTTTGTATTAATCGTGCTACAGTTGTATGTGTGCATGCTAATGACTTATGTACCTTTTTCTTAACATATAGCTTAAATTCAGCTAATATATAATTCACATACAAGTATTTGACTTACTAAGTTGCTTTTTTAAATAAGTGAACTTGTCATACGTCTAACTTCTAAATAGAGAAATAAAATATTATCACCACATTTATGCCCCTTCCAAGAACTATAAAACTATTTAACAATATTTTAGCTTTATAAAGTTGTTTAATGCAGCATATACCAGTTTCTTTATTGATCCATTCAGGAAAAGCAGCTCCACCTTCCAGACGCTGTATGAACACATTGAATCTGGGTATTGATTCTGCTTCTGGTGGATGTTTGAGTTACTTTCAATCCGGGGCTATTATAATCTTGCAGAAACATTCATTTTATGCTCTATGCTGATAAGAATTCATTCTTCAGGGCACGTGAAGAATGAAATTGACTCTGGCCTGGGCTATATAAGCAGAGGAGAAGAGGGAGGAGGGGGAAGAGGAGGAGAAGGGGGGAGAAGATGACAACTTCTATCAACATATATTCCCTGTGGAGGAGTTCTAGTCCACAATGTCACTAACCCTTGCAGCATTCCATGTTGACTGTTTACTTGCTTGCTTTTATTTTATCTGTTTGTGGTTGTGAAATAGTTGTGCTGGTCTCTGTTGGCATGTGAACTTGTGAACTTGAACAAGTTGGTTGATCATGTGGTTATCTCCTTACTAAAGATGCCTTTCCAGGAGTTTGCTGACTTTTAAACATTATATTAGCTGATTTGTTTCCTCTTATTTCTGATGTCTTTGGAAGTTTATGTGTTCTGGAAGTGAGTCTATTAGGGATATCGGTGCAGCAAGCATCGTAATGAACTTTGTGGCTCTCCATATCTCTGCCCTAATGAAACTGTTTCACAGTCTGACCTTGATTAAGCTTTAGGTCAACATCACCTTTTTCTTTTACGGTTTGTGCTTTTCTGTGTGCTTTCTTTAGAAAATCTCTACCTCCAGCAAGTTCATAAAGACATCCTTTAGTGTTGTAACCCCCGAAAGTCATAATTTGAGCTATCCACCTGGATACGTGCTTATTTGGAATTAGTTTGGGGCTACAGTGAGAAGGAAGGACATTTCTCATCTCCATGTGAATGTTAAGCTGTTTTGCTCACTAATTCTATTAAAACCACTTAACTGCTTTCAAATGAATCTTGCTATCTAATGAAGTGAGCCGTTACGTTTTGTCCTTTTTACTAATAGCTTCGTGGGTGTCCAACTTTCATCAACTATAACTATTTTGTTAGTAATTATTTTAGATTGTTGAACTTAAGAAGAATACCCTAATTAAAATTTACTTTTACATTTGCACATACATGTAGGCACAGGTGAGCTTGCATGTGAGGGTCAAAGGGCAGCTTTCAGAGGTCGGACTCCTCCTCTTACCACAGGGCTTGCAGGGATGGAGCTCAGGTCTTAAGGCTTGGCAGCAAGCGCCTTTATCCACAAGGCCATAATGTTGGCCTGATTTTCATCCTTCTGATAGCGTGTATAGAGCTGTCTTGTCAACACTGACATAGGTATACTTACACACCTTCACATATGCACAGACTTGCTTTGATCTTGGCTAGACGTGATAGAAATTTTAGAGCAATTTGGTAAGAAGTAATATTTTCTAATATAGAGTCTCTTGGCTATTGGTGTATTTTCAGTATTTATTTATTAGGCCTTCAGCCTACTCTCAAATATACTCTTATTTTTGAATGGACTATAATGTCTTCATGAAATTTAAATGCAGGTCCTTGGTATTTTGTTTTTCTATTTATCACAACCTCACTAAGAAAGTCTTTTTCTGATTGTATAACTGTATAAAAGCAGTTATTTAAGGCACAAAAATTTAACCTGCCAAAAATGAGGAGACAATAAAAACTGAAGTATGAAGATGCTTAAGCATCTCGTATACTCATAAAATTTTTGTAAATATCATCTAATAAAAATCATATAAAATATGGGTCATATGATATACTTGTATATCTGCCTTATCCCTTAGTACTTCAAATATTATTTTTCATCTAAATAAATTTATATTTAAAGATTTTTAAAAATAACCTTTGATAATATTTGTATTATTTCTTTAATAACATTGTAATATTAGTAATTTGGGTTTTTCCCACATTCTTTGTATTCTGAGAAATCCTGTGGCAAATATTCTTATAAAATACTTAAACCTATTGGGACAGAGAGTGGGTAGGCTTTTAGATGTTTGACTCATTTTTCCAACTCATTCTTGCAAAATGTGAAGCCAGAATCACGCAAACTGCTGCATCATAAGATGAGTCTGCTTCTCTGGCTTCAGCAACATCACACATTAGAAACTCACATTTGGTCGGTTCTCTCAGAGATGCTAAGGCGTGTTTTCTCAAGGCCGCGAAAGCATTGGATTGAGTGACATGCACAGTAGTGCAGCCAGTGACAGGGCTTTACAGCGAGTGTTCCTCCGTGTCATAGCATACCGGTCTCATGACACAATGATGTTTCAGATATTTCAGTCCTTTCTTTCAACTTCAAAGCCAAAGGAGGAAAGACAGAAAAATGAGAAGAATAAAGAAGACGAATTATACTTCATAATTTCTAGGGTCCTGAATAAAATTCATCATTGACTTGTAATGATATTTCACTTATGTTTTAATAAATAAAGCTTGCCTGAAGATCAGAAAGTAAAACAGCCTCACTGGTCAGCCTTACATACCAGATACACACTTTTAATCTTAGTAGCCACTAGTTTACCATAGAAACCAGGCAGTAGTGGTACACATCTTTAATCCCAGCACTAGAGAGGATTATAAAATGGAAGGAGACAGCTCTCAGTCATTCTCATTCTGAGTATTCCTGGAGGCAGGATCGCTATTTTGGACTGAGGTAGAGGTAAGACCTGGTGGCTGGCTGTTTTGCTTTTCTGGCCTTTAGGTTGAACCCCAATATGTGTCTCGGGGTTTTCATTAATCGTGCTCCATTGGCTCAAACTTTATTTTCATATCACATTTTAAATGGAACAATTCTGCGAGTATCTGTGTGCAGGTAAACAGTTTCTCTTTTTTTCTATGAAGTTATTCGTAAGTGTGAATAAGCACTCATTAACTTATTCAGCACAATATTGTTGTGACCAGCGGTAGAGGGGAAGGAGGAAGGAAGGTCTGGAACCATAGCAGCACAAAGAGAAAGTATTTTGTAGTTATTTCTTTCCACAGACTAAACCTTCTCCCAAGTTTCAGGATTTGCAAAGCCCTCCCCACAGTTAAACGAAGAAGGAAGACTTGCTAGGGAGAAGAGACTCTGCTACTCTGCTGATCTGACTGCAAGCTGGGCAAGGAGAGCCAGGGATGCAGCTTTCATCAGTTGTCATGTGACTTGGGCGTGCGTTTTCTGGAGATGCAGCTGTCACTGCACCTCTATGCTCCTGTAAGTACCCCAACTCACTGGCTCTCTACGCTTGATTTGGGTGGAATCATTTCTCTGGTCTGTCACTGATGCCTATCTTGGGTAAACAGAAATATTTTTTTTCACATTTTCCCAGGGAAAGCCATTCAATAAAAGGCCAAATAATCTCAAGACCTCCCCACACACATGTCATGACAGGAGATCATGCTTCCCCCAAAATTGTGTGTGTGTGTGTGTGTGTGTGTGTGTGTGTGTGTGATATAACTTTTCAAAAGTTACTGGAATTCCAAATTTAGATACCAAAACAAAATCCTTGTCAAAAGAATGAGACAAGGCCCGGCCTTTAATCCTAGCCCTCGGGAAGCAGAAGCAGATTATTTCTGGAGTTTGAGGCCAGCCTGGGAACTTCTACATAGGAAGTTCCAGGACAGGCAGAGCTATGCAGTGAGACCCTGTTGGTGTGAGAGATGGGGTGGATTTGTAATTTACAATCATTTGCATGGCATTATAGCTTTTTAAGTCAATAAAGTAAAATTTAATAAATGTCTCTCAAGCAGCTCAAAGATAATTGGGCCAATATCAAAGTATAGGAAAATACTAAAATATCAAATTCATCATCCAAATATTTTGTAGTATCCACCAAAGAAAGATTTTTTGATAGATCATAGATAGACAGACAGACAGACAGGTGATAGATGGATATACACAGACACACATGACAGGAAGATGAAACAGCAGTGTCCCTCTTTCCCAGGAGCCAACAAAAACATGGAAGACATGAGTCTTCCTGTAAAAACAACCTTCCTGGACAGGTCTTCTGAGATGAGATGTAATGTGAGCAATAATGAAAATACAAAGACCCAGATGTGTTTGTCACATACTTCTTATGTTCCAAGAACTCCGTCAAATCCAATGCATGGCTCAACTCACTAGTCGTTAGTATCATTCTCATCCTACACAAAAGGAAATGTGTAGCAATATATGATTTGCTCATGTCCACACAGCTCATAAGCGATAAATACAAACTTGGGCAGTCTTCTTGGTGGGAAAAGCAGAGTTGAATGCTCTTCTTCATTCACCAGAGACAAACTTGCCCATACTGAACTGCCCCTGGAGACTACGGTCCTTGGACAGACAACCAACCTGCTTGCCCTTTGTCTGGAAGACTGCAGATAAAATACTCTTGTAGCCTTTAAAGAGGGTGAGCCCCAGAGCAAAAGTATAGTGGTGTGAATTAATTCATCAGGTAAGGGGTATTGGAGGCACAGAGAGCCTGACAGATATGGTGGGCAGCAGCCACAGGTTGTGTTGTGGGAGCCTGGAGAAGTCCAAAGTGAAATGCGGTCATCACGTGTAAGAGTGGAGCTGGGAGTATTGGTGGCAACTTAAAACTGGAGAGTGAGCATTCCAGAGACAGAGGGAGTTGGGTCCTAAGAACTTTAGCTTAATCACAATGAACAAAGCAAGAACCCTTTCCTCTTCATTCTACTCTATGCCTCTCCTCATGTCTCTGTGATGATAGAGCAATCAAAAGGTCAAAATGAGAAAACAAGTCTTTTGTGGTCAAATGCACCTGTAATTTTTCTAGAATATTCTGTTTTCTCTATGCGAGTTATAGTCTTGGTTATAAAAAAAATCATTTGATTACACTTCTTCAGGACCAAGGTGAAGTTTATTTTAAGGTAGATTTGTAGTCTGTGTGCATCGCGTTTTAAGAAGAAACTATTTCTGAGGGATATATTTGAAAGACAACATCGATTTGTTGCAATGTGGACCTTCTTGATGGGTAACTGGTAACTAGCAAAGGTGGTTGGTTATAGGTCCCATTTCATGAGAAGGGAATGCTAGGGCAGGCTATCAGGGTTTGATATGCGTGCACACCAAGCAAGCACGTTCCTCATTCTGTACCATAGGTACATGTTGCTTATGACCAGTTAGGAAAGGCATAAGATACTGATGAGAGTAATTAGGAAATAAGTAGGGTAAGATTTGGGAAAGATTAGCAGAAGGATCTTAATTGGCTATGGCTAATTGTTTCCTGGGACCAACCATTTTTCATCTTCTGAGAGGACATTTCCCCCAGCCCTAAGTATGTGCTGTTCAATGGCTCCTGCTATTCTACAAGGTCACCTTCACATTCAGTTCTCATGCACAGATTCTAACTGATCTTAATAAAAACTCAGAGTCAGATATTAGGGGGTGAAAGATGAAGATCAGAGAAGCAGGGCAGCCAGCCACTAGTTCTTACCTCTATGAAATGCTCAGACCGAATGGCATATCCTATCTCTCTATAAGTTCCCAGACTGAATATGGTGAGCTCTTGTTTCCTCCTGTCTTATATTCCTCTCTTCGTCCAGCCATATTCCTTCCTGTTTCCACCTCTCTAGTGTTGGTGTTAAAAGTGTGTGACTCCCAATTACTGGGATTAAAGTTGTGAGCCACTGCTACCCCTTCTCTTTGAGACTGGATTAATCTCATGTAGACTAGGGTGCCCTTGAACTCACAAAGATTTACATGCCTCTGTCTCCTAAGTGCTGGAATTAAAGATGTGTGTGACCACTTCCTGGCCTCTGTGGCTAACTAGCATGGCTAGTTCTGCACTCTGATCTTCAGGTAAGTTTTATTTGTTACAGCACAAACAAAATATCACCACAGTGTTGGCTGTCAGCACATGGACTTAGAGGGAAGAGCGTCAGAATCAATGAAATCAATTCAATGTGCTTCATTGGTGTTTAGTTCTATCTCAATCAATTCCTTTCCTGCTTGTATGCTTTTTTCAGTTAACAAATGTTCCCTGACTTATTCAGGATGCAAGTATGGGCAAAAGAGACCCAACTATTTTTCTCACTAATAGTCACTAAAATGTCCCTTTGAATTGAGAAACAAACAGCTAAAAAAAAAAAAAAAAAAAGCACTGTAGAAAAGATAATTCATGGTGGCCTGGCAATTCTTCCTGAGTTAGGGCCAGAAGTCCTTTGAGATGTGACTTCTAAATACAATTTTCCTGAACACTGCATCAAGCAGATTAAATTCCCTTTAAGTGAAGGCAGAGAAATCTGGATTTTTCTTTTAGCATAATCCTCCTTTCATGGTTTTCATGTACTTGAAAGTTGTTGGATACTTAAATATTACAGTGCAGACCAAAGTTTCTGTCCCACCCTGTCCCACAGCTGTTCGGTCCCAAAGGAACACACATAAGCATTTTATTAAGGAAATACTAGTGACAAATAAACTGTTTGGCCTATTAGCTCAGGCTTGTTATAAACTAGCTCTTACAACTTAAATTAACCCATAATTCTTGTCTATGGTTAGCCGCCTGGTTTGGTACCTTTTATCAGTGAGGCGTTCTTATCTTGCTTCCTCTGTGTCTGCCTGACAACTGCATCTCTGCCTTTCTTCTTCCCAGAATTCTCCTATTCTGGTTGCCCCACTTACACTTCCTGCCTGGCTACTGGTCAATAAGCATTTTATTAAGGAAATAAGAGTAACAAATTTTTACAATGTATGTTTTCCCACAGCCCTACAGCTTCCTTCTTAAAGAAGAAGCCCTTTAGTGATGAAGGAATTAATGTACCTCTGTAAGGAACACAGGTATTTCTGAGGAATATCCCACTCCTGTCAGTGGCCTCTAACACCCCTTTGAAGGAAAGCAGAATCCACTCTCTTTTTTTATTTTAGGGGTGGGTTGGTAGCAGAAACTGTTTCCTCTTGTCCTGGAATTGGCTCACACAAGTGACCAAGAATAGCAGCCTATTCTTACATAGCTGCATGGTGATAACCATTCTCAGAAGGCCCAAATAGGCATGTTCTCTGAAAGATGTATACAGGAAAGCTGGATGTACAGAAGAACATACTCAATAAAGTGGCAGGCACACCAAGAAATGTGCATGAGTCATAGTGTGAAAGAGGAAGAGAAACTAGGCTTGTCTTATTTCAAAAAGAAACAGAAATGCCTTAAGAATTTCAACAAAGAAAGTGCACTGACTCTGTAGGAAACCAAAAAGCAAGCAAATTCCTATGGTATGTTATAAAAATAAATATTTATGAAAGACTATATTATATATGTATTATATAAAACATTATGCATTTTACTCTCCTGAGTCTTATAATTTTTCGTTCATTTTGCAGTTCTTATAATTACCCCTACGTTAAGTAATTAAAGATTAAAAAACTGAAAATGATAAGATTTATGTTATTTATTTATGTTTTGATTCATTTACTTTTTAAAATTATTTTATCACACAAACATAGAGGAAGTACTTACCAGATTTGACTTTCCATGTATTCCACAGCATGCCTCTGACTTCAGGTTACAGACGTTCTGATATCACTACTCTTAAATTTTAGACAATATGGTTTCAAAACATGCAAATGTGAAAATGTAATTTATAGCACATTGCATAAGCCAAGCATGACACTATCAAACAGTGCATGCTATATTTCTCTATAAAACTGAAGGATTAGACATGTTAATGCCTGTGGCTTGCATGTTTCAGAGGCTGCACATGGAAGTATGCACTTGAGTAGAGACTAAGTACTGATTGACTTCAAAGGTAGTTTCACAACTACAGTTCAGGCAGAAAGTTAAAAATATGGTCTAGTCACATTAATACTGACTTTCCATTGACAATTTGCTATTGTATATATGTATATATATAGTATAACTATTTATTTTATTTATTTATTATATATTGCATATTGCGTATTGTACATTGTATTGTAATATATATGTATATATATAGAGAGAGTGTATAACTATATAGTTACCAGATCCCATAATTATAAATCAGATTAATATCATAAAGGTCTAAAAAACCCAGTTGGAGAGAGAAGATCAGAATTGTACAGTGATTAGGGATAAGACCTGGAAGGGTTCTGAGTTATGTGAGAGGCTATTGAGCTGTACAAATGGAGGACTGTGATAACAAATGATAGTGAGAGTTGGTTAGACACTAAGATCAAGGAGTCAAAAAAATAGTAGAAACAAAATATATTTGGGCTCCTGATGATTTTAGACGTTCTTGGGGGGGGGGGGAAATAACTCACTGGGGCAATTGTTTTTCAAGTGTGTTCTGTATGTGCACACATCCGAGCATGTCATGATTGTGTATTTTTCCAAAAGAGGCATGTGTAAGGTTGTGTCTTCATCATCCTGTATTCTTTCTTGTGTAAATCATTTTCTGACATTATTACAGGGAACCCATGTGATGTTTCCTTTTCTTCTTAAGTGGATAGGCTTCCATTAAGTTCCTATTTCTGAGAGATTTGTGCTATAATTGTCATTCTGCTTTTCCTGAGACTGTAAATCATAACGTCCTGATTCAAGGCCGACTGATAAACCCTTAAGGTGTTTTCTGTGTTATTAGTTTTCCAATTTTTTCTCATGCATTTAAATGTTTTTATTTTAAAAGTTAGATAAAGATGCCAAATATAAATGTGCTTGGTTAATGGGCATAAGAATATTTATTATTGTATACCATGTTATTATATTTTAAAGACAATGTAACTATAAAGCATATGTATAGTATTCTACTTTAAATTTTCAGTATGGGGGTAAACTTTTCCTGCATTTATCATATTCCCTAGAGCAGGCCAGCACAGCAGCATCCTCAGCAGGACCAAAGTCCACATAGCAAAGAAGAGTGAGAAAAAAAAATAGCTTGGGTTGACAGGTACACAATGTTTTTCTTGTTCTTGGTGATTTGTTGTTTTTTTTTTTTTTTGTGAGGGTTTTCTTTTGGTAAAAAATGGAAGGCAAAATCCTATATACAGTTTAGTCAAATCGAATATCAAGGGCAAAGCAGGTTCAATGGATGATGTGGGTTTGCTTCCTGGTCCACCGGTGATATTGTCCTGATGATGTCACATGGGAAAAGGAACCGAAAGAACTTGCTGGCATCCTTTTTACTAAGAAACTATTCACACTCAAGAGGAGATCTGTCTTCACAGCTTTGCTATCCTTGGATGCCTAATCTGCTTGTCACATCAAACTGGGAAGGCTGGGGGTGGTGGTAGAAGCTGGAATTCATGGGTACACAAAAGTTCTGTCTATTGCAGTTCTCATCTCAAGCAAGATAGAGATTCTGCTGACAACTGCTAATTTTAATTCAGTTCTTCATCTGCCAAAAGTCTGGAACCAGAGAGACTGGAGACTATATGATTTCAAATTGAGACTTCTTGAGCCATAGCCAATACACTAAGATCCTTCTTTCCAACCATTCTGTATTTGTGAAGACGACGGGAGAGTCCAAGCCAGTCCTCAGAACATGGGATTCAGTGTCGAACCCTGGCCTTGTGTCTTTTTTAACTTCTTTCATATGTGCTACGTCATGTGGTTAGAGGGCACTTGATCATCACTGCTTTGTTTCATTAACTGACTAGTTTAAACAAATCTATTCAGTTCTAGGTATATTATTCATGTTTCTAAGGACATTTTACAATAAATATCAGTCATTTTTCCCACTTAACTCTACTCATTTCTCCTTTATTCTTACATTGTAGGAAAACTACATTTTCTTTCCCACTACGTTGGTTTATATGTTTTCATTGTGATTAAAATATTTTTAAGTTGAGTGTGTATTACAAACTTCCCTGCTCCATCTTCCCCACCCCTGCCCTGTGCAGTGTTTTGCATAATATTTATTGTGAATTTTTGAAGTTGAGTCAGAGATGTGAGCGAGCGCGTGCGCGTGCACACGAGCGCGCGCGTGCACACACACACACACACACACACAGATTAGCCTCCTTGTGAGGTTAGGACTTTCTCTCCAGAGACTTCCAACATGTGACCTAAATCTGAAAGTAATTCTGCCTCCCCCAGACACCTTCAGATGAGGCTGCCATTAGATTCCAGGCAGTCTGCTCTGCAGATGTCCAGCATGCCTGCTCAAAAGAGCTTGAGACAATTCCTTTGAAATCTCCCCCATCTCGTCTTTATGCACACACACACAAACACATCCCATTGGTTCTGTTTCTTTGTAGAGAGCTAGCATCTAGATGTTCGTTTGGCCGTATTGTTGCTGTTCTGTATGTGGAGTGAGATGCAACGCAGAAATGGGTCTGAAGGTCATGAACAGCGATATAGCTTCTGCATTATTTTCTGGGAAAGGTTTCTTTGTGGAGACCCTGGGCCACGCTGTGAAGAAAGTGGGCAGCCATCTGAAATAGTTCTCTGGCCACAGTTCGGTTGAGATTCCCGGTGACCGCAACCGACATGTGCGAGCATGAGCAACATCTTCTGGTGCCAGTTCTTAACTATTGCATTGCATTAGCACGCAGCAGGGAGCAGAGGATGCTACCTGCACTCCCCCTCCCCATGCACCTGAGCACTGCAGGATTGTACATTTTTAGGCAAACTAAAGAGCCATGGCTAGCGTAAGCCGCTGTTTGGGGGTGGGTTGTAAGCAGTAGCCAATACATGGCGCACAGTGGAAGGGAATGTACAGTTGAGCTTTGATCAGGATAAAGGGCTGCTGTAGTAACCAATACTAATATCTCAAGAGACCTAGTATAGCAAATGCTAATTTCCCACATGTACTGCTTATTCATCGAAGATCAGCTACAGCAGCCACTAGATGTGACTCGATGATCTCAAAGTAAGAAAAGAAGAAGAAAAAAGAGTGAAGGAGGGAGGGGAACAGCGGGAGAGAGCAAGAGTGTGTACACTACACCATAGAACATAGCTCCTAAGGCTTCTGCTACAACAGGCACACATAATCTGTGTACCCTTCAGTGGATAAAGCAGCCACAGGGCCAAAGTTGACAATAATTTAGTGAGGCTAGGAGCCTGCAATGCATCGCGTGGGATAGAGAAATCTACATGACAAGCCATGCATGTCATTGTGTATGCATAATTCCCTTGCGCCGGGGAGAGTAAGGAGTCCTTGGGATCATGTGATCAACCAGAGTAAACAAAGGAGTAAATAACTTGGATATGCTTTCTAGTTTCAGAGAAAACACAAATCTTCCTAAAATACCAGTGCCTGCCTGCTTTACGCTACTGCGCAGTATTTCTCCTAGAGGCAAGACTGCTTCCCCGGTGTCTTCGCCTTTGCTGTGTTTCTCCCCACTGTTATAGCTGTTCTTCACTGGCTAAGGAAAGGATTGGGGGGGGGGTCCCAAAATGAGTTCAGTTTTTCCCTAAAAGACACGAAGGATTATTGAATAGTTATGAGAAGAGAGAAAATAATCAGCGCTATATTTTAGAAAGACAGAACTGGTGATGATTTAGAAAATGGTTCAAGTAGGGTGAAACTGGATGCTGTCAAAACAGCAGTTCTGAGGTTCTCATCCAAGGTTAATAGTAGAGCAAAGAACTGGGAAACACATAGGAATGTTACATTGACCATCCTGGCAAGAAATAAGACTCAGATTTAAAAAAAATGGAGGTTAACAGAAAGAAGACTAAAGAGCTAATGTGCTTCTTGTTGTGTGTTATTCCCAGCTTTTCAGAAAGATTAGTCCTGCTAATGAGGCACCCACGAACACTGGCACATACCCAAGCATACGCTTTTTATTACTTCGTCGTCAGTGCTCCTGTCATGAGCCTTGAATTCTCATTCCTTCCTCAAAATCTGCGTGAAGCAAAACATCAGACCGAATGAAGAAATGATGCCAACCTGAGCTCTGCCCACATATCTGAGAACTCCTGTCAACAAGCATGATTGATGCTGTGATTGACATGCAGCTGCCTGCTGCTCCAGGAGAAGCCACGGAAAGGCAGAGCCGGCTCATCAAGCGTCTGTTCTTGGATCATCTACATGTAGGTGGCAAGAAGAGACTATCCTTCAAGGAAGGAGCAGAGAGGATGTACCTGCTGAAATTCCTCCCCGCGGCTATTTCCCACGCAAGATCAGGCCGGCCTACTTCTAGATGTTTCAATCTAATCCCTTCAGTGGCATTTAAAGATACTTGATTACAAACCTTGCTGAGATATTGAAGCCAAGAAAAGGTGATGAGAATGACCAACTCTAAGTGCAGATGATCAGGTGGAAGACACAGTACACCCAGGACAAGTCCCTTGGACACTCAGTAACAATTAGAGTAAGGCAGAGCTTTTGGTACAGTGGAGATGGATGGACAGTTGTGGAAGTAGGTAGAGATGAGGGAGTCTGATGCATAAGGTTTGTGTGCTATAGAGAATCCTTCTTGACTGTCATTGCCATAGGTACCACATTAGGGGCCT